AGGGCGGGAAAGAATGTTCCATGGTGAAAGAGCTATGCTTTTGCTCAAAAGAAGATAAAAGTTCAAACTGAGGAGGTAGGAGGGAGAGGTGTGGCTGGCACTAGGGGACCTGCAGCGAGGCGCGGTGGGGCGGGGGGAGGGCTGGAGACCCCAGGGCAGAGAGAACTTGCGCCCCCTCCCTGGGGGGCTCTGTGCCTTGGTAAAGTGCCTCAATGGCAAAGACGCCTCCCTCCCCAAACACCTGCCCTGGAGTGACAATTGAAAGAGGATCTGAGAGCTTTCAGGGTCCTCAGGTGGGGACACAAATCAGGCTGGTGGAGGAAGGGATATGCAGTGACGTCTGGAGACTAAGGGATGTCTGCAGAGTGGGGCAGGTGTCACCGCGGTGAGTGCAGAACCCACAGACCAGGCGCCTTACACCAGCCTTGCACGCCCCACAGCACGAACCTGGAGGAGGAGGAGAATTGGGTGCCCCCCCCCCCCAGGGCCATGGATGCTAAGAGAGGATGTCAGAGGGGAGAGAAGAAGTCTTTCCAAACTGAGCTTGAGAAAACTTGACCTTGACATTTCATCTCAGACTGGCAAGATGAAGCTTCCATCCCCAGGACAGAGGGGTTTGGAGAGTTCAGTTCCATTGGAGAGAAGCCAGTGGCCTCGAACACGTGAGCTGAGCAAGAGAAGACAGGTCATTCTCTCTACATGATGCTCAAATAATACAGAATGTGAGCTAACGTGTGGCAGGGACGTGCCAGGTGCCCGGCACTGATCTGACATTTTGCTCGTGAGTTAGGTCAGGTCCTTCCTTGCAGGCAGACGAATCCACATGAGCAAACTCACAGGGAAAGGCATCTATTCAAGGTTATTCATTGGGTTCCTTGTGGACTTTCGGACACGACCACATGTTACTCAGACCCAGGCCAGTACTGGACCACACTCGGGTCAACAGAACCCCCTCCTCCCCCCCCCCCACCCCCCAGTGCTCCAACCCACTGTGTTAACAGAAAACCCTCTGCTGTTGACACTTGCAAATTACCACCCATGGGGGGCTGAGACTGAATGTGCAAATTTCCTGTTTCCCCAGAAGACCCAAGACTTGACACGCTGCCTCTGTGCTTTCCAGAAAGTCCATTCTTCCTGTCTGTGGCCGCCTTCTCCCTCTGCTCATTTCCACATCTGAGTCCTGAGTGAACACAATGGATTGGTGGGTCCCAGCCACCACAGTACAGCCAGGCAGCCTGGAAACGAATCAGGATGGGTGCTGAGTCAGCCGCATGTGCAATCACATTCCCATTTTCCAGATGAAGAAACTGAGGTGCCGAGGAATTTGCGTCTCTTGATTCTCTTGGAGTCTGGATGCCCAGAAAGGAGCCCCACTCCTCCTGGCTTAGGAGAACTTGAATTATTTCACTGTTTTCTCTTAGTACATAAAAGCCCCAAGGTACAGAATGTCCTCCATCAAGAAACCCACCCCCAAATCAAGATGAGACTGTAGTTCAAGGCCACTGCTCCTTCCCGGGAGCACTGGAGCCTGCCACCTCTCCTGAATTTTCTCTCTAAGCCACCATCTGCCTTCTGGGTAGAAAGGATGTGTATTAAGACCTTGCTCCTCTCTTGGGACCTCTGACCCAATTTTTGCTTGCTGCGTGAGTTCTTTTTCTTTCCCTTCCATTTCTTTGATGTTTTCCTTTGTGTCTGTAACTGCTACTCCTTATCTTTCTAACAAGGAGGCTATGATTTCAGATTGAAGTCGTTATGAAATTGCCTCTCCATTCACCTTCAAAATGGTTCCCATTTGATGCTTGAAGCTAAGCTTCCTCTTCCCCTGGGTCTGCACACAGTAGCGACATTGCAGGATGCATTTCTGCGGAAACAGTTCAGGAGTTTGCCCCTTCTCTCCGAGGCTGGGCGGGACTTCAGTCTAACCATCCTGGTGGGCGCTCCCTCTGTCGGGGTTCAGCTGTGCGCAGGTTGGACCACGGGTGACAGCGCCCTGGGAAATTCTCCTGACACCAGCTTTCTCTTCGACCTTCTCCTACCTGGAGGCACAGGTGAGGCCGAGGCACAGGTGAGGCCTCCAGGAAGGACGTGCATCGGGAAACATCATTAATGCACCAAACCAGGCACACCTTCAAGAAGGAAGGGATGATCAAGCCATCCTAAATGTAGGCAGTCACTCACAAACACATCCTGAGTTCCCGGGGTGGATTCAAGTCAACAAAGCGCATTCAAATTCAAGTCCTAAAAAGGATCCTGCGTCTCGCAGGTGTGCCAGTAGTGCAAGGGATCTTTGTGACTCGGGACTGACACGATGACCTTTGCCCTCTTCCTTCTGTGCAACCAGAACACGGGCTTTGCTTGTGTAAAGGGCCCGGGTCCTCACTTCTCAAGAAAGGGGCGTCCTTTGCAGCCCCATTGGGCTACCGCAGTTTGGCCCCTCCCAGTGAGTGGGCCAGGCTTGTCATGTGACCTAGCTCTGGCCAGTGGGATAGGGGAAGCCCCGCTCCACCCCGCCCCAGGAGGCTTTTTGTTTTGTCCTGGCTAAAAGGAGCCTAGCAAGGGAAAGCCTTTCTCCCTGTCCTTTACTCTATTAAATGTAGGTTGTAACTTATTGAACTGAAGCTGCCATCTGGTGACCAGGAGGGAAAGGCCAAAAGAACTTCACGGATGGAGACCCAGAGTCCTGTCCTTTAGAGTTTCTTCTTATGTGAGATCATTAAATAGCTTTACTGGTTATGCCAGGAGTGGGAGATTTTTTTTTTTTTTCTGTAAATAGCCAGGCAGTAAATATTTTCAGCTTTTCAAGTCAACGACTTGCCATCGTAGTGGGAGAGCAGATAGAAGAAATACATAACCGAGGGAGCATGGCTGGGGTTCAATAGAACTTGATTAAACTGAACTTTGAATTTCATATAACTTTCAAATGTCGTGAAGCATTTCGTCTGTGGAGTTTTTACCCCAACTGTTTAAACTGTAAAGATATTCTCAGGTCATGGGGCTGCACCAAAGCCAGATTTAATCCCTGGGTGAAGTCAGTATCAGTGGGTTTTCAGTTACTGGAAGCCGAATGCTTTCTAGATGATTCTATCATCCGACTTCCCATTTCACAGATGATAAAGCTGAGGTTCTGAGTGGGGACACACAGCTAGTGTGTGTCAGGGCTAATCACTCTAGATCCTAGAGCTATTGACAAGTCCAGGGCTGTCCCTGGGATACAACACTGCTTCCTCCACATCTACACACCAGTGCTGGCTCTCTTTTTTCCGGGCTGTGACATTTTCTTTTACGGATGCGATTGCATTTTGTTCACACAAAATAGATCAAGGGCCAAGAGCGCACTTTTACTGAGAGCCTACCACATGCCAGGCACATGCATTATTTAATTGTACAAGTGTGGGGTAGAGATTATTAAGCCCGAGAGAGCCAACTGTGCTGTGCCCCAGGTCACCCAAGAATGGATGGGGGCTCCAGTGACACCCGCCCTCCCTGCCATATCTCGCTTCCTCTCAGGCCCTGGGGCTGAGCCCTGCGTGTACCCTAATGAAGAAGGCATGGCCCCTTTTCTCTGGCCATTGAATACATGCGAGAAAGCCCTAGCAGAGAGCTTAAAGATACTTTTTTTTTCCTTTCTGAAGTGCCATTCTGCTAGAGTGGGCTGCTTTTCCCAGTTCTGGGTGGAAGTAGAAAACCAATGTGGTGGGGGGGCCGGGTGAGGGACGTGGAGTGGAGTGGCGGGGGGAGGGGGATGATGCGGTTACATCATCTTGGCACAAGAGGGCAGCAAGAGGCCATGTTTCTAAAACAGCTCACTGCCTTTTCTCCCTCCATCCACGGAGTTCATTCGCAAGTTTATGGGAAACTTGGGGAAGATGTTTCAGGCTTGTATTCCAACATCCTCATTTTTCGGACGGAAAGATCAATCTCAAAGGGGTCTGTTTCTTTTACTAGAATCAACCAGCTGTTAAACCAACAAATAATTGACTATTCAATGCCGCAGGTGTTAACACCACAATCGCTGCATAGGCATTGGAGGTGCAATAGGGGCAGAAAGACTTGTGCCTGCCTGCCTGGAGCACGCAGTCCAGAGGAGCACATGGACAACGAGACATGACTGCACCTACTATGTGGTCAGTGACTGTGGGGGAGGGGTGTAGAGCCGAAGGGTCAGGCGCAGGCACTGTGTAGAAGTGACATTTCCCCCAATCTGCAGATGAAAAGCAGCCAGGCTTTGAAGGAGCCAAGGGACAAGAATTCTGGGAATAAGGACCCACACGAGCAAGAGGGTTGGACTTGTGCTGGCGCAGCGGCGTCGCTGGGTGGAGCTGGCGAAGGAAGGCGGGGTAGGGATTCAGTGATAAGGTAATGACCGGGTACTGAACATTCACCAAGTGCCAAGCACAGTGTTGGGTGCGTTGTCTCACAAATCCATAGCTTGCATAGTATTATTATTATTTTTATAGCCTCACAGGGGTTAATACACTTGGCCAAGTCCACACAGCCCAGCAAGAGCCTCGCTGGGATGTGAACCAGGGTCTGTCTGACTCCAGCACCCAAGTTCATCCTCACTTTCCCAAACAAAAACAGAACAAAGACTAGACCCCCGAGATCTTGTCTCCTGGCGGGACAGTCCCCACAATCTTCTCCCCTCGCATCTCAGGAAAGCATCCCTTCACTGTCAGATCTGGGCAGGGGGGCAGGGAGGCGGGTGTGAAGGCAGGCATTAAACAATAGAAAGGAAAATCTTTTCTAGAAAGGGATTATTAAAGGCCAGGAAGAGGATTCTCAAAGCTCACATCAGCAATTGTCCCCGTTCGAAAACAGCGCTCACAAGAACGCACAGCTCTGGGAACACAGAACAGACCCTGAGAACCAGCAGAAGGACGCCTCGTGCCCGTGAACATTGCCTCGAGGACTGGAAAGTCCGGTGGCTGGCTTTTGAACCTGAGCCCACAAATGTATAAAACTCTGCGCACCAGCGTGACCCGCCCCAATTACAGATCTACCTTACAGAGTTCCCGTCTGTCCTCTGATGAATGAAGAAGGCTCTGGAACTGTGGTCAGGGCGTGTATTTGATGGCTCGGGTCTGCGATGCTGTCACAGGGGAGCGGGCTTCAAGAGAAGGGAGGCTGGTCTCCTTCCCCAGCCTGGCTCCCGGGCTCCTTTCGGTCCCCAGGCCCTTGTGACACCACGCTGCCGGAGGCAGTTCACCTCTTCTGCCCCATCTGCCCCTGTTGAAACTCTTCCGGCCTTCAGAGCACAGCCCCATCGTCCCAAAGTTGCCATCAACACTTTCTCCAGGACTCGCGGTGTCTGTGGCCCTCGGCGCGCCCTCTTTTGGGATCTGCACAACCGGGCTCAGTTCTCATCCTGCAGACAGAAACACGGCACTTGGAGCTAGAAAACCGAGGCGTTGGGGAGCCTGGGTGGCTCAGCCACGTGAGCATCTGACTTTTGATTTCCACTCAGGTCGCGATCTCCCTCTGTCTCTGCCCCGCTCCCGCTCACGTGCACGCGCACTCTCTCAAAATAAATAAACATGGAGAAAAAAAACCCCAAGGCTTGACGCCCAGCCTCACTTTGGCAGTCTGCGTGGCCTTGGCCGAGTCTCCCCAACCCCAGAGCTGCTCTGAGCCAGGCTGGGGGCCTAGCTCAGAGGAGCACCGTCCCTTCCAGGAGCTACTGTTTCAATGTTTGCATCCGGAGAATGGGTATCACGCAGCTATTTCTCCAGCTGGCTGCCCACAGGAAGCAAAATAATGTACACAGAAGCTGCTTGAGAATTTGAATGTGCCATACACGCTTTGTTCCGCCAGGAATTCCTCCACGGTTGTCTCATTTTTCTCTTCTGAAAACTGCGGGTAGAATGCAGATTTATTTCAGGTACATTCTGGCAGAACAAAAGACGGTGCCAACAGCTACCAGCAGCTTGGTCTCTGCATGCGGTCATTCTGCCCCGTTTTTCATCTTGGCCCGGCCCTTTTCCTGCCTCTGCAACCCCGGACAAGTTACCTGAGCTCTGTGCCTCTGTTTCCTCATCTATGAAATGGGAGATGGTAACAGTCCCTGTGTCTCAGGGTCATTGCAGAGCTCATTAGTTACCTGGGGCTGCTGTCACGAATTGCCCTAAACTGGGTGGCTTCCAATGAGAAATTTTCTCACCATTCTGGAGGCCAGAAATCCAAAACCAAAGTCAGCAGGGCCGTGCTCCTTTCGAAGGCTCTAGAAGGGAAGCCTTCTTTGCCTCTTCCAGCCCCTGGTAGTCACAGGTGCACTCTGGTCTGTGGCTGCATCAGTCCACGGACTCTTGGCATTGGATCTAGGGCCCACCTGGATAATCCAGCAAGATCTTGAGATCCTGAATTGCATCTGCAAAGTCCTCTTTTCCAAATTCGGCCATATTCACGGGTTCCAGGGACTAGGACACAGACACGTCTTTTGGAGGCCACGGCTCACCTCACCACAACCCAAACTGAATGTGTGGAATGTGCTCGGCACAGAGCAAGGAACACCGTCAGCACCCAGTTGACAGGGACACTTGCTGCTGTGTGCCCAGAGGTTGTGTCTGGGATTGAACTGTGGAGACTTGTCCAGCACAAGAACAGAAAGCCAGATGTAGAAAGATGGGTCACGCTTCCCCTGCAGGCCTCTAGGGCTGGTGGCTCAACTCGCCACGCTGCATTTTCTAACCTGACCAAACTTGTTTGGGCCTTGACATTCCCTGGATTCTCTCTGTTCTAAACAGGCATTTAGCAGAAACCACCAACTATCGCAAAGTCTGTAGTTTTATTCACTAAAATCAGTCTCAAGGCGACCACGGGTCAGAGGAGAGCAGGTCATGAAACAGACCACCGGGCAGGAGAAATGGCCCGCCAAGAAACGACCCACCCAAGAGGTCGCCATCTTGTTTGGTTTCAGGCCAGAGTTAGCTGGGCCTTATCAGGTAACAATGGGCATCAGGCTTAAAGTTCAAGACAGTTTTTCACTGAAGAAAAAAAAAAAAAGGGAGACTGGTTTCACCCGAAGAGTCAGTTCTATGGCTGAACTGGGTGGGGTGTGTACAAGCATCAGGGGTACATCCGTTGGAGGGAAGAATAGGAAAAAAGAATGAGCCTGAGGAGGGCAGGAGGCTGAGGGAGGTCGAGGGAGGCTCGTGGAGGTAAGTCTGGGATCCTGACTCTACCGTGGTAAAGTACAAAGAGAAAGGACAGCTATGCCGGTTCCAAACCCAAAGGGCCATGTGACTGCTCAGAGCCTCGGTGTTCTCAGCTGTCAAATGGGTATCATAACAGGGAATAACCCACAGGGACGCCACTGTGGATACACAGGTGTTGCTAAGTGGTGCCTGTTATTATGCCCACTGCTACCATGACAAAAAATAATGGGTGGCAGAGATGCTTTGGGGGTGACTGGTTCATTCCAGGACAGTAGAAAGACCTGAGCTCTGAGCTACACCTGCCTGTGGTCTGTGATGGAAAGAAGTAGAAAGGCTGCCTTCACAGTGCAGAAAGCATATGGGGAGGCCTCTGGACGAGCTTTGGGGGGGGGGCTAGTTCCTGAGCCTGTAAAGTACGTTCTTTCCCAGAGCCGATTTGAGGACCGAAGGTAACATCAAAAGTCGTATTTCATGACTGTTGTGTGACCCTATATTTATCCCCAAAGCCTCCCCCCTCACCCCAGAGTAACTACTGGCTGAGGTCGTTGCCAGAAGCGCCACTGAGGTAGCAATGTCAATATGGCGTCAATATGGCGCTGATGGAGCTGGCAGTCACCCCATGTTGGAGTACGTATACTCACTATTCCTTCGCCCTTCACAAGACGGAACTGCAGAAAGGAACGTCCACACCCCCTTCTCCCTACGGCACCAGCTTCTGGGACCCTTTTCCTCCTGAGGCCAAGCTGGAGAGATCTGGGCTTTTTTTTTTAGAGGAAGCTGCTCACGCAGCTGAAGGGAGAATCTTGAACCAAGAAGTAAGTATGATTTTAGCAAGTCTTTCGTTTGTGCCATGGGTTCAGAATGACTGTGGTAGTTCCCTTTACTGGAGAACTGCTCATTAGCCCCAATGTAATTATTTTCTTTTAAAGTTGAGAAATATAGGTGACCCTCACAGCCACCCTTTAGATCTGTGGTAATGAACCTGCAGAACACCAAACCCAAAGGTAATAGCTTCAAGAATAAGAGAGACAAGACTGTTACACACGAAAGACAATTAGATTGATATCCAACCTCTCTACAACCTCAGTGGAAGTCAGAACATGAGTGTCACAAGCAGTGAAATGATTTTTCAAGTTCAAAAGCAGAAAATCAGAAGACAGCACTTGCTATTAACAGACTCCCTGATAGGGCATCTGGGGGGCTCAGTAGGTTAAGCATCTGACTTCAGCTCAGGTCATGAGCTCGCAGTTTGTGGGTTCGAGCTTCGCCATCTGTGCTGATGGCTCGGAACCTGGAGCCTGCTTCAGATTCTGTGTCTCCCTCTCTCTGCCCCTCCCCTGTTCATTCTCTGTCTCTCAAAAATAAATAAACATTTAAAAAAAAGACACCAGACCCCCTGCCAAAAGAATAGAGATACTTTCACGTCTTCCTTTCTGATTCGGATGCCTTTTATTACATTTTCTTGCCTAATTGCTCTAGCTAGATTTTTTAGTACATTATTGAATAGCAGTGGTGAGAGCAGGTGTCCTGTCTTATACCTGATCCTAAGGGGAAAACTTCCAGTTTCTCACTTTGGAGTGTGATGCTACTTGTGGGCTTTTCATAAGTGCCCTTCTTGGGTTGAGCAATTCCATCCTTAGTTGTTGAGTGTTTTTATTATGAAAGTTGTGTCAGATTTTCTCAAGCACTTTTTGACATTAATCCAAGTATTTTTTCCCTTCATTCTATTCATAGGGTTGATTTGTGTATGTTAAACCATCCTGGAATTGCTAGGATAAATCTCATTCAGCCATGGTTGTATATTCCTTTTAATATGCTATTGGATTTGGCTTGCCATTTTGTTGAGGATTTTTGCATCTATACTCATAAAGGATATTGATCTGTAGTTCCTTTTCTTTTGATGTCTGTTGGGCTTTGATATCAGGATAATATGGGTCTCATGTCCTGAGTTAAAAAGATTTCTTTGTCTTGGGGCACCTGGGTGGCTCAGTCGGCTAAGCGTCTGACTTCTGATCAGGTCATGATCTCATGGTTCATGGGTTTGAGCCCCGCACCAGTCTCTGTGCTGACAGCCAGCTCAGAGCCTGGAGCCTGCTTCAGATTCTGTATCTCCCTCTCTCTCTGACCCTCCCCTGTTCATGCTGTCTCTCTCTCTCTCTCAGAAATAAATAAAACATAGAAAAATTTTTTTTAAAGATTTATTTGTCTTCTGTTCTTCACACTGAAAGAAAATTGCTGGACTATATTAACGGAGATGTAAATACATGGGAAAAAGTCTTGTGTTCATGGATTGGAAGACTTGATACTACAAGATGGCAATAATCTCAAGGGACTTACAGTTTCAATACGATCTCTATCAACATCCCAGGTGCCTTTTTGCCAGAAATGCAAGAACTTTATCTTGAAATTCACATTAAATTGCAAAGACCCCCAAAGAGTCAATTTTGGAAAAGAACAAAGTTGGAGGACCTTTACTTCCTCATTTCAAAACTTACTACAAAACTACAATAACACAAGCATGGTGGACTGTCAAAAGGATGGACGTGTAGATTAATGGAATAGAAGGGAGAACTAGAAACAAACTAACTATATACGGTAAATTGATTTCTGCAAGGAAAAGGCCAAGATGATTTAGCAGAGGAAAGAATAGTCTCTTCAACAAATGGTGTTAAGACAAGTGATGTCCATGTGCGAACCAATGAAGTCGGACTCATATTTCACACCACATACATAAATGGGCTCAAAATAAATCAAACCCAACAGTAAGAGCCGAAACTATAAAAACTCTTGGAAGAAAACACAGGAATAAGTCTTTATAACTTCTGACTTTGCAATGGTTTCTTAGACATGATACGAAGAGCGTAAGTAAAAAAGAGCACAAGAAAGAAATAGACAAATTGGATCTTGTCAAAATTAAAAACTTTTGTGCATCAAAGGACACTATCAAGAGAGTGAAAAGACAATTCTCAGAACGGGAAAAATTGTTACAAAACCTGACAGAGAGTCTAGCATCCAGAATATGTTAATAACTCTTACAACTCAAAAAAAAAAAAAAAAGACAACCTAATTTAAAAATGAGCAAAAAACATGAATAGACATTTCACCAAAGAAAATCTCCAGAAGTCCAACAAGCACATGAAAAGATGCAGTCATTAGCCATTTGAGATAGACAAATCAAAACTTGCTCTGAGAGATCACTTAGTGCCCACTAGGATGGCTAAAATCAACAGAACAGAAAATAATAAGGAATGGAGAAGACGTGGCGAGATTGGAGCCCTCATACAAGGCGGCCTCGACTGTAAAACGGTGTGGCCTGTGGAAACTAGTTTAGCAGCTCCCCAAAAAGTTGAACACAGACCGACCATATGGCTCGGCAATCCCGCTCCTTGGTGGAGACACAAAAGAATGGCTAGCAGGTGTGTCAACAAAATCTGTACACAAATTTCCTAGCAGCACTCTCCAAGATAGCAAAGACATAGAAACAACCCAAATATCCATCAACCGATGAGCGAATAAAATGGAGGGTATCCAAACAATGAAAAATTATTCATCCACAAAAAGGAATGGAGTACTGATGCATGCTACATCAACCCTGAATACATTATGCTCAATGAAAGAAGCCAAATACAAAAGGCCATATATTTTATAATTCCATTTACATGAAGTATCTAGAATAGGAAAAACCACAGAGACAGAAAGCAGATTAGTGGGTATCAGGTGCTGGGTCAGGAGGATGGAAGTCATGAGGAGAGACTGTTAAATGGGTATGGAGTTTCCTTGTACGGAAAAAGAAGTTATGGAACTAGGTAGCTGTGAAGGCTGCACCGCATTGTGAATGTACTTGATGCCACCGAACTGTACACTTTTAAAATGGTTAAAATGATCAATTTTATTATATTTCTTTTACCAGCAAAAATGTTTTCCAATAACTGAATTGAGAACGTAGAACTTTCTTCTATTGTATGCATCCATGTTGACATTAGAAGAAAGACGTGACTCGTGTCTTTTAGAGGAAAGATATGACTTTGCGATAAAAGCGTACCGGTTTCAAAACTATGGGCAAGTGAATTAAATTTGCTAACTAGATATTAACAGTGAATTCCAAGAAGTATTGCATACTCTAAATGTATGGCCAGCAACAAAGTGTTCTTCATGTTTTTCT